ACAAAAATTAAGAAGTTAATTAGAAAGAAGTTAAAAGGAGCAGTCAGAAATATGAAAGGCCTGCAGGCAGTTTGTTTAAATATACCATGTTAGAGGCTCAGGGAAAGTGTGTACCACAAATCAAAAAGGATACCAGGTGGTTCAGTAAAAACCCGTGCATGATTTAATAGCATCAGTAAGGAGGCTATTCAAGTCAAAAAAGCATCTTTCCAAAAAATGGAAGCCACACCCAAAGGAGGAAGACAGGAAAGCTCACAGATTCTTGCAGGTGAAATATGAAAGCAAGGTAAGGCAGGATAAAAAAGGATTTGCATGCCATCTAACAAAGGACACTAAAGTAAATCATAACAACTTTTTTAAAGACGTCGGAAGCAGGAAGCCAATGAAAGAATCAGTGGGACCATTGAGTGGAAAAGGTACACTCAAGGATGATAAAGCCATAGCAGAGAAGCTGAATTCATTGTTTGCATCAGTTTTTACTGCAAAAGCTACTGGGGAAATTCCCAGGCCAGATCAGTCCTTTCTAGGGCACAGGTCTGAAGAGTTGGACCATATTGAAGTGACAACAGAAGTAGCTCTAGAACAAACGAATTAATTAAATACAGGAAATCCTTGCTATTCGCGGGTTCGGCATTCACGGTTTCAAATATTCGCAAATGCTGAACCTGCATTGTAATGCACTTAAAGGAGCTCCTCGGGAACTCTGCACTTGCCACAGCCAAGCTCCCGCCGCCGCCAGAGCAGCTATGCCTCCCCCCACCCAGCTGCCGGGGGCACTGCATTCATGAATGCAAATAGTGTTTGTAAACACAGTGCTTTATTCATGAATTTTGCCATTCGCAGGCAATACGAGAACATACCCCCCACGAATGGCGAGCGTTGCCTGTACTAGTAAGCCCCCAGGACTGAATGGCATTCACCTGAGAGTTGTAAAAGAAGTCATCAGTGAAAATGCAAAACTCTTGGCAATGGTATGTAACCTATGGTTACAGATGGCCTGTGTGCTGCCAACATAATACCCATCATCAAAAAGGGCTCCAAAAGTAGGAGCTACAGACCAGTGGGTGTCACTTCTATCCCTGGCAAGCTGATAGACTGTAATAAAAATAAAATCAGCAGTCACGTGGACAAATATGATCTGCTTTTGAAGAGTCAGCATTGTCAAATCTTGCCTTGTCAACCCGCTGGAGTTCTTTGAGAGTGTTAACAAGCGCCTGGACAAGGGGTGTCCAGTTGACACAATGTCTTTGGACTTCCAAAAAGCTTTCAACAAAATCCTTCACCAAAGTCTTGTTTAAAAGCTCCCTTGCCATGGAATTGGAGGAAAGGTTCTTTCATGGACAGAGCACTTGTTAAAAGATAGGAAGCAAAGGGTAGGAGCTACAGTGTCACTTTTCAGGGTGGAGGGAAATCAGAAGTAAGGTTCTGAGGGAACTGTGCTAGGCCCAGTTTTGTTCATTGTTTTCATCAATGATATGGAAATGGAAGTGTACTTCAAATCTCCCAAGTTTGCAGATGATACCAAATTATTCCAGGTAGTCAGATCCCAAGTTGACAGAGAACTTGCAGAAAGATCTCACCAAGCTAAGTGAGTGGGCAAAAAAAGGTCAGCAGGAAGAAAGATAATATCATGGTTATAGGATAGATCATTCCAGATGTATCCAGTTCAATACTCTCCCTCCAAAGCATCCTCTTGTGCCACTGCCAGAGATGTGCCATTGTAACAGTGGGCTTCAGGTCCACCAGGAAAACTTTAAGCCTCCCTTAATTAGGGAGGCTACTGGGGATACAGCTGATTTCTTGGGGCAACAGTTGTGAAAACAGATGGGAGTGTGGGTCAGAAGTTAATAACAAGTGCTGCAAGGGGGGGTACACCAGGCAGAGCACACTGGCCAGACCCACTGGCTCTTTAATGAGTTTAGGGAGCTAGTGGACACCATCACTGGTGGTGAAACAGCCTGGAGATGTGAGCAGGTGAGGGACAGGAAGATGGTCCCACAGTCCTCCCAGCCAGAGTCTTTCTTGTCAGGTAGATAGCTGTCTTTGTTAGGGCCAGGAGGAGGTTAACCAGGAGGTCCTGGGACTTGGTTGGACCATGGGCAGGACAGTGCATAAGCAAAATGGTGCAGGGAGTAGTGCAGCCAGAACATCAGCAAGCGGTTCTTGAAGAGGTAGTGAAGGGACTACAGCCTGGCGCATTCAAGATAGGCATGTGCCAGGGTCTTCCTCTGCTGACAGAAGGGGCAGATGTCGGGGGTGTCTGAAACACCCAAATACACACCTGTGTAATATACATGTGTGGTGACAACTCTGTAGGAACTGCCAGCTGAGGTCCCTGGTGGCCCATGGGATGAAGGTGAGGTACAGGCTTGTTTACCCTTGCTCTTGCCAAGGATGCCACTTTGTGTCTGCGTGGGACACAAGGACGGGATGCTGGATTGTTCTGAGTATAAGCTTGTAGAGTAGCAGCAATGGGCTGTGTGGAAGCAGACTGATTTGGTATCCCCCAGGCTGCTTAGACGGTGTGGTGGGGAGTACTGAGGGGTCCCACAACAAGCTTTGTGGGACAGGGATACCAGAGGGCAGGGGACCTTGCACAGGACCTGTTGGATGTAGGTGAAGGCATTGTCCAGCAGGGGGGCCTTGATCAACTGCAGTAAGTGGTGGTCCATGCAGTGTGGGCAGCTTCATGTGGTGGGCCAGCACAGAGGGATCTTTCCATCCCTGCTTGGCACAGTTTAGGAGGACCCCAGTATGAATGATGTTGACCAGGACCATTCTCCAACACACGTAGGGCATCTCAGCTGCGGGTTTTTCAGCAGGGGCTTGACTAAGAGGTCTGCGCCTTAGGTCACCAGACAGGGTCACCCAAGGGTGGAAACCAGTCTCCAGGCCCTGGGGAGGTCCTGGCAGAACTCCAGGAGCTCACTGAGGCCTCGTATGGGGAGGCCTTGCAGATAAGAGCTGCCAGTCATATTGGAGGTGGTGGAGGAAGGAGCATCCTAGATGGATTGCTGATCTGACCCAGTATGGCACTTGTTATATTCTAACCCTTCCAGACCCAAACCTGGGAGGGGGTGGTTTCCATCCCACTTACTATTATTAATATGTTGTAACATTTCCTTTTCCTGATGCTAATTTTAATTGGAAGGAGGCACCTTTTGGTAACAAAGCTCATGGCCACGCAACTTGCCATACTGGATCAGAACCATTTAGTCCCATATTCTGTGACAGTGACCAGGACCAGAAGCTAAAGGTGATGTTGCATGGCACCTGGTAGGCATATGTGGGCCCCTTATTGAAGATGGGTTTGAGCCTTCCAGAACTTGTTCACAGACTATCTCAATTCATAAACAGTTGCCTAAATAAAAGTTGGGGACCCCTTGAATTTTGCTAAGTGCTTGCTGGGTAGGAAGGAGAACAGTTGATTTATTTCAATTGTTTCATGTTGCTTGACAAAGGGTATGTTTTGCACTTGTGTTTTGTTTGCTGGCAGCTTGATCTATCTTAATAGGTAAAAGAGAATCTATCAACTGCTCTTCGTTCTGAAGAACATCTCATTCCATCATAACTACGTGACCTCATCCACTGGGTCTGCTTCTTGATTAAAGAGTACTTTAGAAACATGATTACCATTTATGCATAAGCCCCTTTGTGTTGCCCTGTGGCAGTAAGACTTTGTCCCCAGTCTGAAAACTCTTCCACAACAGTGAAAAGAATAGTTTGGAGGGAAATGAGACCTGGTCCAGTTGTCGGGTCCACCCGAGTTCTCAGAAGCCTGTGACCCATTTTAGCAGATGTTTGTCTCTAAAGAACTTGTTGAAATTAGGGTGTCTGCATTTTGATACTGTTGTACTGCACCTTGTCAACAAACATAAAATATTACAGGTTTGAAGTGTCAGAATTTCCTATCGGATGGAAATTCCATTTTCTGACCAGCTCTTGTATATACAGGAAAGACTTTTTGATATGCACATCTTATTGGTGTGCGTATTATACAATGCCAGAAAGCTCCTGCATTGCTTACTCGATACAGCTCTCATTCTCATTGTATAATACTTGCATTCTCTTATGTTGCTATGGAAACATTTACTTTAAGTGTTCAGCTTCTGATTTACGTATCTGTAAAACTTTCAGAAACTCTATATTCTGGGTGGTGAAGTGGCAGAGTCTGCACAGAAATGTACACATCTGATTGCCAGCAAAGTGACCCGCACTGTAAAGTTCTTAACAGCCATTTCAATAGTCAAGCACATTGTAACTCCAGAATGGTTAGAAGAGTGTTTCAAATGCCAGAAGTTTGTTGGTAAGTAAATATTAGCATCAGTTGATGATTATTATACAAGTAATCAATTAATTTTTTTAACAACAAAGTTGCATACTTCTTAATTATTTGAATGGAAGTACTTTTCTGCTGACTGATTTTACACAGACGGCTATTTGCCATGGGATTTTAGGGCAGGGGTTTCAGACTCATTTGGCCCCACAGGCTAGATGAATGGCACAGGGCTAATCCATGGGCTGGATTTAGACCCATAGACCCCCCTACCTCTCACAGCGTACTGGATCCATTGCCTGCTGCAGCAGGTCTGGGACCCGCACTATGTGTGGCCTCATACCCAGAGTGGCCAGAATGGGTGCCGTGTGTGGTGCGTCCACCTGGGGTCATTTAGCACAGATCCCACACTGGCTGGAGTGGGTACTGTGCTACACATGGTGCTTGCCCTGGCCAGACTGCACCACACCCGGCACCCTGCTTTGTTGCACATGGCTTCTGCTCCAGCTGGTCTAGGACACGTGCGGTGCTTGTCCCATAGTGAGTGCCATGTATGGCACAGTCCCAGAACTTCTGGGGCCCGCACTGCATGCATTGCATGTCCCAGAGGAGGAATCACGTGGCACAGTCTGGCTGGGGTGGGCACTCTGTATTGCTGCATCCACTCCAGCCAGTCTGACATCTGTGCTACACACTCCCTCTGGACTACGTCACAAGCAGTACCTGTTCCAGCTGCTCTGGGATCTGTGCCACATTCATCTGCCTATGCAGTTCCGGAGCAGCCAGAGCAGGTGCCACGCGCATCTAGGGCCCTATCCATGCGGCTGGTCCAGTGCACGCCATGCCCTGTTGAGGGGCTGCTTAGATCCAGGGGTAGCACCAGGGGCCAAATGGTGGGGCTCTGTGGGCTGGATCTGGCACGTGGACCGTAATTTTGACATCTACGCATTAGGGCATTACTTCAAGAATAGTTACTCTCAGTCTGCTGAATTCTGAATAATTTGCACGCAACTAGAAAATGCTGGTTGAAGGTTGACAACTGGAACTTTAGTTGGTATTTCACAATTGACAGGTGTTATCATTTTTTTAATATTTCATGTTTTTAATAACCATTCAGATACCAGTGCACTATCACAGAAGCAAAATTTACCTGTTTTTTATTAACTTTTCAATTACTGTTCTGATTTTAGCTTGCCCCACACAATTTAATATAGGAAAGAAGAGAATTTAAAAAAAAATATATAATTATGTTATTTAATAAAAGATACTCAGAATTATCAAACAACACTGGATGTAACAATACTACATAGACTTCCCCTGGCTCCCTTTTTCTTCTCTTTATGTCCCTTTCTCTTGTCATTGTCAGTGATAGATTTCACTGGTGCTTGCAATTTTTAAATCCTGGTTTTTTGTTTTGTTTTTATGATTGTTCTCCAGAAGTGTACAGTTTTGTGCATTACATGGCAAGGCATGACCTTAACATGGACAAAAATCAGTATCTTTTTAAGTAGAAATTTATTTAACAATAAGTTACGCGTTGCTCAATAGTGGCATTCCTGAAATAAAAATAAAAGTTTATAACTGGTGCAGTTGTGGACAAAAGTGCATTAAAAGTGCATCAGGTTTGTACTCAATACAGGACCAGAACTGTACTACAATTTTGATCTATTTTTATATTTTCTGTTAACGACAGGTCAGAGTACCATATTGATTTCTTACACAGCTGATTTCAGGGATATGGCATAAACTCTTCTTAGGTAGATTACATGACTGCTGATTCCTGTATGTTTGACCTTTTTACATGCTTATTTGATTAATACAGCAAATACATAGTACTGCTGCAATAGCCACTCTAAGAATATATGTTTGTAAATAATTTGCAGCTAATGAACACACAAGCCAGTTTTTCTCTTATGCACATGGTGTGGGGGTTGGACTTGTTTTCTAGGGTTTTAACTTGTTTCGTTCAGCCACAGCAGGCAGAGTAATCAAGCACTTTGAAAGTTTTTAGGTGGTAGAACTGATTTTTTTATAACGTGAAAATTTGACATTTTTATGTTGGTTATAGAACTAAAGATAAACCATCAGCTTGAAATCTAGTTAAGTTTACTAAAGGAGTTGCTATTTTCAGACACTATCCAGGTCCTGCTAGGAGTCTTTCCTTTGCTATTATATATGTTTAATATTTTTTTATGTCTCATTAAGATATGGGTTGTGATGAGTGAGAGACTGAAATCCCCTTATAGACAAAAAGAAGCTTAATGACTATGCAGTGAGAAACAAATTGAAAGACTGTCATGAGGTTAAAGCCAAAGACTTGAAGTCAGGTCTAGGCTCAGTCTTGGATTTTTTGTCTTGGACATCGTTCCTTAGGCATGTGGTCCAGTAAATCACTGTGTGCCTCTGCCTTTATGAACAAGGATAGACATGCTAATTTTTTTATATTTTTATATTTAAAATAGTCGTGTATGTGCAATAAAGGAGGACATGGGAGGTAAGATGTTGTCAAATGTACAAAAAGAAAAAGTAAGACTCTCCTGTTATAGAAATGTTGGATGATCCTCAGCGATAAGTAAAGTAACAATTTTTAAATTGTTTTCTTTGATATCTTGACTTCAATAAGAAAGCAATTTTGCATGGAGATACAGTGGGATGCAGGGGTGATGCGTAGGGGGTGCGCACAAGTGCACGTGCACCTCCTGAGCGTGGCAGTGGATCCCCTACAAAAAAGCGGCGCCCACACTGGGTGGTACCTGCAGGCGGCCGCTGCTTGCCACCCCACTGCTGGCAGCGTCTGCAGGCGTTCCACGATCACCACTGGCTGACGCTGCTGGTGGTGCCTGCGGGTGGTTGCAGACCCCTAGTCGGTGCTTTCCACCTCCCCTTCCCCCAGCCAACAGCTCTGGTGGTGTGTGCAGGAGCTCTGCACTCCTGCCACTACTGTGGGGGCATGCGTTGTTCATGTTGGGATGACAATCAATGTCAAAACAAGTGGGATTTAAAATAAGTGTTTTACCATTGGTTTTTTTTCTCCCTAATGCTTGGTAATAAGAGTTAAGGCTTAGTGAGGGGTTAAGTTGACACCTTTTTTCTTCCTTTGTTACATTTGCGATCTGTGAATTTTTTTTT